AAGAATGCTAATAAGAGATTTAGTAGGCGCTGGGTATGGTGCACACCTGTAATCGTAGTGTTTGGGAGACTGAGGCAGGAGGACTAAGAATTTGAGTACAGCCTGGGCATAGAAAGCTCAAGGCAAGCCAGGTGTGGTGGTGAACAACTGTAATCCCAGCACTCAGGAGGCTGAGGAAGGAGGCTCGCTTGTGAGTTTGATGCCAGCCTGGGCTACAAAGTGAGACCAAGGCCAGCCTGAACTGCATAGTGAGACCCTATCTCAAAAAGACAAAAAATAAAAAAAAAAAAAAAAAAAAAAAAAAACAACCCACAAAAAAAAAGAAGAAGAAAGTTCAAGGCTGACCTGGGCTACACAGGCAGACAGTCTCTCTCAGAAACAGAAAAGCTTTAGTAGGAAAGGGCATCTGCAAAACTATCTAGAAGCTACTTAGAGAGATCTCAGTTGTCTACTGCTGTATCATAAACTATGCATTTTAGTAGAGTAAGCAAGGTCATGTCAGTATGTATGGCCAGTTCTGAGACATAGAGAATAGGTAAAAATGAAATCGTTCCCTGAACTCTAATGAGACAAGAGCTGCATCTCAGATCTCTGATCTCTAAAGCATGGAAGACAATGCCAAGCTAGTCTGCAGTCCACTCGGTACCTACCATTTGCGTGCTGTGCTGCGGTAGAGGACACGGCTGCGCACCAGCTGGCACCGTGTACACTGGTGTTACTGACACACTGGCAGGGTGGGCACACACGAAACGCACCTGCACAGTCTCCACAGCTGGACTAGGGTTCAGAATCCCTGGGTAATTTCCAATCCGGAATGCGAGAACCTTTAAAGAAAGACCAGATCAAGAGGTAACTGTGGACAGAGACATCTGATGTCAGTCATGCCGATATTAATGTCAGAATTATTTAAATTCAAGCTGGGCATGGTGGAACACACCTGTAATCCCAGCACTCAGGAGGCTGAGGCTGGAGGATCATTTGTGAGTTCAAGGCCAGCCTGGGCTACAAAGTGAGACCAAGGCTAGCCTGAACTGCATAGTGAGACCCTG